GGAAACATCGCTGGGTATCGTGGTGCACGTTTTCAAAGAGGATATGGGATCGGAAGTATTTTCAAGAGCCTTGCGAGATATGCTATCCCTCTGTTCAAACAAGGCGCTAAAGTTGTTGGCAAAAGAGCATTGCAAGCAGCCACAGAAGTTAGTCAAGATGTACTCCAAGGAAAAAATGTAAGAGAATCTGTAAAGACTCACGGAGGTGACGTTGTTAAAGACTTTGCCGAACAAGGAGCAAAAGCCCTACCACAACAAACAGGGCGCGGAAGCAAGAGAAGGCAAGGCCAACTAAGTAATTTATCAACTACAAAGAGGTTAAAACTGTGTTCCCATATAACAGTCCCAAGACATACCAAATGGATTACGGAAGATGAAAGCAGCCACGATGATGAAAGCAGCTATGATGAAGAATCTGATAGCGAAACCCCTGATCATGAAACAAGTGACGATATATATTAGAAGCATAATTTTGTAAAACGTTTTGAAGAAATAAATGTATTTAAAAACTGAAATATTGTGTAATTTTTGCCGTCAAAGCCCGCTCTTTCCGCCCGCGCGATCCGCCCGCCTGATTAGTGTACAAATATGTTGTTCGTTAATATATACATGCACGCAAGCGTCGCTAATAACTTAGCAACACATAACAACGTATATAACGATTACATGTTTTTATCGCAAAATATATTACAACTGTTCCAATTCTAACTTATATTCTTGATAAGCTTACTTATGATCTTGATAAGCTTACTTATCATCTTAACAGTATATATGTATGTAGAATATTTGCTAAAATAACGTTGAACAACATGTAAGTATTGACCTTAACAACGACGTTGACAACTCGGGATTAGGAACTGTTTAGTTTAAAATATGTCCAAAATATATTTAAAATATGATTTTTGTGACGAATAGATTCCTTATTTGCGCTCGTTCGTTTTCGTTCATCATGAGGCAGTCATGTTGTCTTTGACTAGGATGACCGACTTGACAACCATTACAGGATTCCACACAAAGTCTTTCAACTTTTGGCTGCAAAGCGCTCCTGTCTTGTCTAAATCGCTTTCTCTCTTCCCGCACGGATAACCCGAGACGCCCGCGCAATGAATATCCTAATCTACCCGTATTTATCCACACAGTAGAAAAATGCAAATCTCTGATAAAAGTTAATCCTTTAATTAGTTTCACCCTAACAACACATAGCAACCGGTGTGCTTTAATATAGCTTAAATTTATTAACCTTATCCGAGTTTTAGTACTTTAAAAAACTACCACTAAAATATAGAAATCGCTTGACAATTATATATCATAACCTCTAATTTCCATGTGTTTATATAACTCTAAACAGCAACATATTCTTTCGTATATAGACCTCATATGGCAGACCGGTATTTAAATATTAGTTTAATTGTAGATACATAATAACTCTTACCGCATGCTATTTCTCAGCGTTTTGACGCTTCATAATATTTATATGTTAAGTTTCGTTTGTGGAAACAGCACGTAAATTTATTACTGCAAAGCTTTCGATCCGTAAGCCCGGATTTTCATCAGTGCTAATAATATGTATTATTATTAATATGTATTTATTACATATTATTAGCACTGATGAAGATCCGGGCTTACGGATCGAAAGCTTTGCAGTAATAAATTTACGTGGTGTTTCCACAAACAAAACCTATTATATTTTATCACCATGCAAACATACAAAAAACTTATATTTATATATTACTTAACAACAAAACATATAGCTGTATACTCCGAATATATAAGTTTTGGATATATAACACTAATGCTATTTCATATAGTCTCAGATATTTTTTACTCCTCTAGGAGCTAAATTAAAAGAATCACTTGACAATAACAGCAAAATGCTAGAGCTGTACTTATAAAAGACAACAACATATTCTCTTGTATATAGCCCTAACTATTGTATCATACGCGTGGGGGACGCTAAAAAATGCGTAGTCAGCAAGTTTTGCCCGATCGTGTTTAAGCTCGTTCGCGTGACGTCATTGTATATAATTATGACGTGTGTTAATGAGTGACGTCACTCCTCCTCCTCACTCCTCAATCTTCCTCACTCCTCCTCCTCATTTCTCCTCACTCCTCCTCCTTATTTCTCCTCCACACTCCTCCTCCTCATTTCTCCTCACTCCTCCTCACTCCTCCTCACTCCTCCTCAAAAATAAGGGTCGAACGGCCTCTATATTACTACTGATGTGATTCCTTGGAACTATAAAATAATACATGATATGTTGTATGTAAATATAAATATACACATACTAAGAACCCAAAATTGACTGCAAAAAAAAGGATTTATGGTCAACTTTGTCTATTTCCGCAATACAAAATATACAAATTATCACGCTCCGTGGGAACGACCAATATGGCCGCCTCGCGTAAAGTGCGACTGCGATCAGGCTTCAATTTTCGCTCGCCCGCAGGGTGGGATGCGCTATCTAGTGTATATGAGATATCTATGGGTGAGATATTTTGCATAGTCAAGTTAGCTTCAGGAACAAGAGATTTGCCATTCGTCAGATTAGTAATATTATTGATTTCACACCTTGATTCCGTTGTTTCATTACAGTGGGTTGTTGTTATGTAACACTTCGTTGGTCTTTCATTGGGGTTTTAAGTAATGTACAGTTTTCCTGGGCTTTGTTTAGTCCATTATCTGGATCAATACTAATTACATCTTCACACAGTTCTATGATTTTTATTAAAGGTCGATCGCTATTACCAACCGGGCAATGGGCATTGTGTTGATGCTGTTTGTCTTGATTGGGCATTGTTTCCGCAGCCAAGGGGGTTGTGTCATGTACAATAATTACATGATTAGAGGTGCTGTCAGCTTTTACATCTTTTATTTTCTTGCTTTGTATCATTTCTGGAGAGTGTTTGCTTGAAAATGTTACCTCGTGCCTTACAGGTTACTTTTTGCCAGTTAGGATTACCAATGTATACACAATAGATGCTCCAAAACGTTATTTATTATAGTTATACAAACTTTGATTGGTTATATAGATTATTATTATATCTTGATCTGACTTCGTCGTTAATATTACCTCTTCAACAGCGTAAACTTAACTCTCTGACAAGTGTTCTCTAACACAGTCTGTATCATGCACAATAATATATTAATTATAAGTAATAGCATGGCATTCAGGTCGATTAGTGATTAAATGTACCCGAGAGCTCTCGAGGCTTGAGGGACATTTCATCACTAATCGACCGTAATGCCATGCTATTACTTTGTAATATCATAGTTGCCGAAGGAATCGCGCGTGGTGTGTTGCCTGTTTTGAATGCTGTTTGATTGTCTTATGATTGTGGTACGAACACTTTTCATATATACGCACGCGCAGAAACACATCTCCATGTTCATTCGTTTTAGGCATGCGCAAAAACGGAATTTTCCCCCACAATTGTAATGTTCAAGATTAGGGAATAAAAGCTGGCAAAGTGATTGTTCGAATGTGTACGGGACGGTGTCGTCAGATACTGTCCATAGTTGTGCCGATGATTTTCGATGAGGTACAGCTCTCCAATCAGAGGTAATGAGGTACGCTTTTGTCTTCTAAATTTCCCTCATCAAGCATGCAGGGGAAAATTAGAAGACAAAGAAATCCTTAATTGTTTTCAACTAAATTTCCCGGGTAAATTTAGTTGAAAACAAAGGATTTCTTTGTCTTCTAATTTTCCCTTGCATGCTTGATGAGGGAAATTTAGAAGACAAAAGCGTATGCATGGTAATGAGGTAAATCAGTGATTAATCGTACCTCGCAAGACAAAGGATTTCGAGGCAACTATAATATTACTGTAGTAAACGTCCTTTTTGCCCAACTTTTACCCTGATTATTACGTCAATGAATTTGGCTCATAAACTAAACTAAACTTAATTAAAGCAATACATTGACACATTCTAACACATTCCCCCTCCAAAATTAGTGTCGTCCTATGACACTCGTCGTCTAAATTATGTACAAAACATAAACTTCTTAGGCCTAATACGTTAGTTTATAGGATCTTATGATTATGCTTATCCAGTATAACCTTGAATGTTGCTGCAGCTTCTGTTAACTGGCATAAATCCTTAACCTTATATACGTGATAGCTTATAAAGATACGCTAAATATCTTAATTTTTATATTGGAGTTATGGAGCGTTTTTTTCCCAATGTAGTGATAGAAAATAATTAAATTGTTATGTAACTGTTCAGCATATAGGCTACGGCATCACTTGTATTGGATGTCCATGGAACGGAGGGATTTGGTTGGGGATAGAATATATTGGGTCGAATGAACGAGGTCCAAGGAAAAGGTGGTGGTAGTGGGGAATAAGGAAAAGGATTTTCGGATGCAAGAAGGGCAAATGGAGGATTTAGAAAGTTTGATTGGTTGGTTTACTGAAGGGGGTGCCATACATTGGGTGGAACTGTAGCTGAAATAGGGAATACTCCAAACGGATTATGTCTCACCAGGATTGTAGTAGGTTAGCCGATCAGGTGCAGTGGGTACCGTACTCGCTGTGGTCTCAAATTTTCAACTACAGATAGATAGATAGATAGATAGTTTAATAAAACATTTACATTGCAGCCAAAGGCTGAATTACGTAAAGTTTACAAAATACGAATTATTATTTAATTACTATTATAATTATTAAGTTAAAATTATGCAAATATTTAAAATTTTACTAGGATGATAATAAAAAAGATACCACTAACGTTATGAAGACATCTTCGATGCCATCGCAAATATAAAAGAGTTTTTAGTACGATTAGTATTAAAATGAGGAATGTCAAATTGATGACCATTTCTGAGATCGTGGTGCCAGTTATGTTTCTGTGGGAGGAGGTCATAAAGTTTGTGGTTTGAATCGTTTGTAACATTATCAAACAAATTTCTGCATAAGAAATTATGGTGTTCTTCTATTGGTTTGATGTTCAAAATTTCTCCTGTTGCAGAGTAGTCCATTCCTGGATTTATTGTTGAAATAGCCCTTTTTTCCAGTCGAATAAATTCGTTCTTTAAGTATTGTGGAAGGGAGTGATAAAAAGCTGGTACTGCGTAATCCATGACAGATCTAACACAAGACGTATAGAATAACACAAGATCTTTAACTGGTAACCTAGCTCTTTTTAATTGAACCAGGTAATATAGTCTTTTACTGGCTTTTTTGACGACCTCTTTTATATGGGCATGCCAAGTTAGATTGTTACTTATTGTTACTCCCAATAATTTAGCACTTTCGACTATTTCGACTTCTTTACCATTGAGTATGACTTGATCTAGAACAACTGGGTCCTTACTAAAAGAAATTCTCAATTCTTTACATTTGTCTGGATGTAGCTTTAATCTATTTTCTTCTGACCATTGCTTAATATGATCTGCTATGTTTTGGGCTGTACTAACATTGCCTTTGGGAAGAATTTCCGATGCTGTGGTATCATCCACGAACTTCCACATGTATGGGGAATTAATATTCAGGTCTTGGATCATTAAAATAAATAACCATGGACCTAGCTTTGTACCTTGCGGTACACCAGACGGAACAAGGCCCCACTCAGAAAAACAGCTATCGGCCAATTTTACTCTCTGCGTTCTATGAGAAAGAAAATCTATTATCCAGTTAATTATACTTCTAGGTATGTTCAAATTACCCAGTTTCTTTACAAGAATTGTATGGTCGATAAAATCGAATGCCTTGCGATAATCAAACAATATTGTCCTTATTGTTGCCCCATTCCCGTCAGTGTTTATAAACCAGTGATGCAGCATACTAATTAACGCCATAGTGGTTGACGATTTTGAAATCGCTCCATATTGACTAGCATCGATTATGTCTAGAATTGCCGGTTTAACATAATCCTCAACAATGAATTCCTCTGCCACCTTAGAGATGCAGGGGTCAGGGAAATAGGCCTGAGATCTTTTTCCAATATAGTCACTGGTTTTTTTTTTGGTAACGGCGAAACATTAGCTTTCTTCCAGATGGTAGGCAGCTGCTGTTCGTAATAGGAAGCATTGATAATTTTCATGACAGGAAGGGCCAAAAGATAAGAATATTCTTTAAAAATCCAGTTTGGTAGATTGTCTGGTCCGGGCGCCTTGTGAGGATTTAATTTCGCTAGAACTTTTTGAACACGTTCTTCAGTAACTTCCAAAAATTTTGGTGGGTCTTCTAACGGAAGATGTTCGAAGGGTTCTGATATTCTGTATTCGGCCAAGGGTGCAAGAAAGGCAGTATTAATGGTATTAGCTTGTTCATGTGGAGGGAGGTTCGTAAATCCTTCGACATTAATTTGATGGGATAAATTTGTGCCTGCCGACTTTATTCCACTTAACCGCTTAACCTCATCCCACCACTTCCTTGGGACTTCTCCTTTAAGTTGTTTAATGTTGGATTCGTAGTATTTTGCCCTGCAGACTTTTCTTTCTCTGTTGACACAGTTTCGGTAATATTTAAATTGTACACCGTGCGCATTGAAAGCTTTTTACCTCTTAAAAATTAGGGATTTAAGCTTCTGGTTCATCCATGGAGAGTCAGCTGGGTGAATACGAATTTGTTTTTCTGGCATTATGGTGTCTAGTCCAGAATGAACTACTTCTTGGAAGACTGTCCACATATTTTCGCAAGTATCCAAAGGACTGAGCATTAAGGTCCAATCAATTGAACTTAAGTATCTTCCCATTTCTAATTTACGACTTTTCCGCTGGTCATGTATTGTTATCGATTTTTTAGTATTATTCTTCTGCACTGCAATTTTCCCTGTAGCTACTATTGTATTATGATCGGACAGCCCAAATCCTGGATAACCTTGAGGTGGGTTATAAAACTTGTGCATATTAGTTAAAATGAGATCTAGCGTAGCATCGTTTCGAGTAGGTATCTTTACAATTTGCTTGAGACGAAAGTGATTTAGCAACCGGGTAACGTTAAGACGATTAAAATCGCCAGTTATAATGATTCCGCAGTTTGGATATTTTGATTCTACCAAAGTGAGTGTTTGGAAAAGATGATCCAAAAATAATTTTCCATCTGCCCCAGGTGGGTGATATATTACCGCTATAATTATGCATGTAAATCCACGAGGGAGACAGGTTGGTCTCAAGTAAATCCATAAACATTCATGGTCATCACAGCAATTCAGGTCGTCCAGACGTTTATATTTATATTGTGATTCTCTAATGTAGGCACACACCCCTCCATAATTCTGCGATGATCTATCCCTGCGCAATAAGGTGAAATTTGGAATATCAATGACACTGTCTGACACGGATTCTTTCAACCAGGTTTCTGTTATGAGGGCGAGATTAATTTCATTACGAATAATAAATTCATTAATTTCATCGATTTTTGGTACCAGGGACATGACATTTGTTAACATTAACTTCGGTACTTTAGGAATTCTTTGAATGGAACTGTTTAATAATAATACCGGTACCAATTCGCTTGGTCTTTCATGTTCGATGTTATACGAAAACCCTGCGCTCCAATTTTATCACATTTTTTAGCTTTGACGATACCGGGTTTTGTTGATTTATTCTGCTTCCCGATTTCGTTCTTCCTTGGCCAATATCTATTGCGTTGACTATTAAGATAATTTCTATTTGCATTTAATTTTCGGGAGTTTGATTGATGTTTTCTATCAGTTATACGAGTTGGAATATGCTGATAGTTACACGACCCTAGCGGTGGACATGAATTCTGCTCTATTTGGCTCCGATCATCATAGAACTGATGTACTTCTTTTGTATTCCCGTTGTTATTATTAACAACGGAAATTTCATGGGAGGATGAGCAACTATTTAAATTTGGTTGCTGGTTGGAATTACTTTGTATACGTCTGGGTGCTTCTTTTGTTCTATTTGAATTTTTATGTTGTTGGGCACTTTTGTTGTCGCCTAAAGATTTTCCTACAGTATTCGGATTTGCTTTGTAATTTTCCATCTCCGAATTTAATGCTTGAATTTGATCAATGAGTTTTTCATTTTCGATTAAATAGGCATCTGAATCCAACTTGCAGTTTACATGCTGCGTTATCTCTTTTTGATTCTTTTGTATATCGGCAATTTCTGTACATATTCGATTGAACTTTGATTCCATTATAACTAGGTCTAATTCCATTATGACTGGGTCAGGGCTACACACTCGAGTTTGATTAGTGCTATCTTTTGCTGGATACAAATCCGTTTGTACAGCGACACTACACTTCGCGCTTTTGGAACCGAAACCTTGAGATTTAATATAATTTGTAACCATGGCCATGTCTTCAGAAAGATTATTCATAACTGCAGACAACTGATGGACTTTCGTCTTAACGTCGCAAAATTCATTAAGTAATCGGTCAACAATTCTATTCTCATTCGGTTCAGATTCGTGAATTTGGGTTTTGTTCCGGCATAAGTTAATCACTAAGTCCTTCAGCTTATCACCAAGTTCACATTGAAACAAGAGAGATTTCTTGTTCGCATACCAAGTAATAGTTAGTCTGTCATTACGGAATGACTTTGCACTCCCACCCGGCGAACTCCATTTACCGTCGTTGCCAAACAAATTAGATACGAAATTCTTCAGGTTCTCGAAGTCTCCAGCCCATCTTATTCGATTAATATTTTTATTATATTCAATATATTCTATATACTTTGACACGACATTAAAGAAATTAACTTCAAGCTGACCAGATAGATTAACAGCTGACTTATCTATAGTCCGACCGGCATCCATGTTGTCAACAGGTATGGTAGGGATCTCATCAACAGGGTTTAGCTTATTCTGCTCACCGCTGAGGTCTAATGTTTCTTCGGTCTCGGTGAGGGGTTGCAATTCAAGGGTTTCTAAATTGTCGTCTACAGCCAGGTTATCACTGTTATTAGGAACTGCCTCGTCTGTTGGTGGCGGGTTTCGGGATTGGGCAGAACGCGTTTCTCGACGTAGGGAGACCGTTACCACATCAGAGAATTCTTCGTCGCTGGAGGTTTCCTCATCCTGCGCTGTAACGTTTCAGGGTGGTGAGGGTAATATTTCGCCGAATCCCCCGAGCAGAGGGTCTATAAATGATATATTATACCGAAAATTAAAAGCCTCCAAGTTGAGAATTAAACTGAACTTGACACATAACCTTCGTGAATACGATGTTTTATTTTCGGATTAACGCAAGTATCGTCACCTTTCTTTCGAGTCACATATCGTTTGGAATATTAATGAAAACATGTTTCAAAATTTGCTTCAAAATTTTGAAAAAGCCCCAGCAAGGGATCGCATATGTATTTCAAGAACTAAAATGTCAGTTTCGTCGCGATCTAGTAGCGTTTCGGAGTATTTGTCTGAAACAGATTCTCCTGCATCTCATCTGTTTATATAACAGCAAATTCAAGCGAACCTGACAATGAATTTTTGCCATTTGATGATACTATTGCTGACTATTGCTAGAGCCGCTTGCCTCGCCCGCTGAAGATGTATAGCCGAGTACGAGGTCGACGAAGCTGTAGCAGAAGACGAACAGCTCGAAAATATGTCACAAAATCGTTTTGAAGGCCATGCATGTTGATGTATCGTTTTTATTTGCCGGAGTAATAAATTAAAACGTATCTCTGAACTTCTATTTTGCATTTTTTATAAGGTGTGAATGTGGTCATTGCTGTCAACCTGAAGTATGCCTACTATGCCGATGTTGTTATTAAACAAGCATTAACATATTGTGCGCGCACATTTATTTAATATTATATATTTTATAGGTTCTTACGCGCAGTTTTCTACAGACAGCTCGCGGTTTGGTATGAGATTTTACGGGCAGTTCAAGGCATCTCACATTACTGTGTTGTTGTTACAATAAAATATGATCAACATTCCCGAACACTGATCAGCGAGCTTACACGGAGTTTGACAAAAACAGCTCGATGGTTCATCCTCGTTCGTATCAGTCTTGTTTGCAGTTTAGCCCAACTCGTTTAAAATTTAAACCTATTTTCAATAATATGAGAACAATACTTGTCGCGTGAATTTATAATTGATCTGGACCGCGTGAATTTATAATTGATCTGGACTTATCAGATTATGTAAATATGTATGTAGCTAAAATATATTCATATCTGACTAAACCTTACGCCTATCTCTTGTTGTTAGTTGCGCAGGCGCTTTCCTCCAAATAGTAGGCACAAAATCTGGTTTGATTCGTCTTTGCAAACCATCCAAATGAAATAAACGCTCAAAACAATCCGTTGAAAAATGGTCCAAACAAATCAAGAATCCAATTTCCCGCGAGCTTGGCGTGCTTAGTTTGCACAAATCTAACCGATATTCTTCTCAAAGATTCGTCATTTGGACTCTTATGCGATGATCTACCCGCGTTTTTGTCAGAAGTATTGCTGCAATTATTATTATTATTATTATTATTATTAATTAATTCTCCAAACATTTGGTTTTTCAGATTAATATACATGTAAATTATATCTAAATTATTCTATTACATATATTTACAGTTTAAAATCATTAAAATTAGATAAGTTCAATTAAGATTTTGAAAGAAAAAGTTCAAGCAGATAGTTATAAAAATTACTTTTTATAGTCTTTACAATTGTCATGTACAGAGTTCCACAGGGATACTGCTCGGTATTCAAATGTTCGTTGTCCGGCCGCCGATCTATAAGCTGGAATGTTTAGTTTTTGTTTATTTCTGGTGTTTCTATCGTGTAAAGATAATTTCTCCTGAAAATATGAATTGAGATAGTCAGGGGCTAGTCCATTCAAACATTCGAACGTTTGAACGCCAACAAAGTATTTTAACATGTCTGGGACAGGCCTAATTCAGTTGTTTGAGTATTGGTGTAATATGTGTAGAATAATTTGTAATACTATATTATTGATAACGACGTAGGATAACAAACAATGGGTGATTTAGTTGATTGACGTAAGAAATGTATCGTATGTCATGAATATAGACTTTGAATTGATTGTCAGACTGAAAGCACGAGAGAAAACCAGAAGGATTGTTTGTTATATATTTTATCGTTTGAATAGTTTAAATAAATATGTTTGAAAGTACGCGTGTGTGTTCTATTTCCGATGGTATTGTTCTGATAGTATACAGTCCCCACGAAGCGCAACTGTCTTGCGGTGTAAGACAGAAAAGTGCAATACTTGGTCCATGCGAACCGGATAGATTTCGAAAGAAAGAATCGAGATAGATAGATACGACGATGCCGCTGGCCGAGTTGACAAAGAAAAGAAGAACACGCGCAGCGCACAAAGGTTCAGCAACGAAGATAGGAACGAAGATTAAAGAATGTTTAGCGAATGCGAGTGAAACGCCTCAAACGGACAAGATTAGAATGTGATGAAACAGCTGAGAGATACGCTGAGCGAGAAACTTGAAGCCTTGAAACTTTTAGATAACGAGATTGTCGAGGTACTAAGTAATAGTGAAGCCGAAGACGCAGAACAACAGCTGGAAAAGGAAATTCAGGAGACAGATGATATTTGAATTACAGAAAATAATTCTCGACGTGAATGACGCATTGTTCGAAGCCTTGCCGTCACTACCACAAGGTCAAAGTACACCATCGAATCTGAGTATGAACGCTACACCAAAACAGGTTGTTCGCGCAAAGCTCCCAAAGTTACAGGTCAAAAGATTTAATGGGAAAATTCAAGAGTGGCAAGAATTTTGGGACTCCTTTGATAGTTCTGTAAATCAGAATGACGCTCTATCAGAGGTAGATAAATTCGCGTATTTGAAAGGTCTACTGGTTGGTCCCGCGCAGACAACTATCGCAGGGTTCACGTTAACAGCAACAAACTATAAAGAAGCATTAGAACTCCTGAAGACACGATATGGGAAGAAAACGGCGATACAGAGAGCTCATATTCAAGCGTTAATGAACATAAAGCCAGTATACAACGAGCGAGATGTGCGTCGACTACGGGAATTGTACCATGCCTGTGAGACAACCTGCCGAGGTCTGAAAACCCTGGGAGTGGACGAAAGTTCGTATGCTACGATTGTTGTTCCGGAAATACTCGACAAGCTGCCGGAATCCCTTCGTTTGACGATAACTCGTGGGGCAAGTGGATCAGACTTTCTAAGTTGGACGATGAAGGATATTTTAAAAGCACTGCTAGATGAAATTGAATTACGCGAAGCACACGAATCATCTTCGACGAACACGTCAAAACAAGAACGAAGGAAACCACAGTTTCTAGATGGATCGGCGGCTGCTCTTGTGAATCATACCACCAGGGAAGGGAAGCCAAGATGCGTACATTGTTTACAAGAACATTTATCACAAGATTGTAAGAAAATTCAGGATGCTGGTAAGCGTAAACAGATACTTCGTAAGTACGGACGGTGATTTATATGTTTAAAAAGAGGACATATTAGTAGTAATTGTTTAAATACGAGTAAATGTAGTGCATGCAGTAAACGACATCATAGTTCTATTTGTGAGAGCCATGCTCTATAACCGCTGACGGGTCTATAACCGCTAATGGGTCTATAACCGCTGACGTCGTGCCAGTAAAGAGGAAGGAATGGGTGGAAATTAGAATGTTCGGACAGGAGAAAGTTGAAGGGAAGTTGAGAGAAGTGTTTGAATTGAGTGTAGCCCCAGTACAGGGGGGAGAGAGTGTTAGCATTGAAGTTTATGGAGTAGACAGCATTTCACAGATTAGGAATGAGCATGTAGAGACAAGGAAGAAAGATTACCCACATTTGCAAGGGTTATGGTTTTCCGATGTTTGTAAGACCAAGAATGTGTTAGAAATAGAGTTACTAATTGGCGCAGATTATTTGTGGTTATTTCAAGAAGGGCGTACGGTTAGGGGCAAGAGTGATGAACCTGTTGCGGTACAAACCAAATTAGGATGGGTGTTGTCAGGTCCACTGAAGAGTAGCTCTGAAGATGATGATGGTCCTACATCGTGTGCACAGGTAAGTATAAACCTTATTGGGCATGTAACTTCATCAAAGAATAGGTCCCTTGAAGCATGTGTTGAAAAATTATGGGATTATGAAACGTTAGGTATAAAGCATGAAGAGGAAGCTAGTGAGTTATTAAATGATTCAATACATTTCAATGGCCAAAGATATAGTGTAAGTTTACCTTGGAAGGAAGGGCATAGTTTATTGCCAACTAATTATAGCTGTAGTGTGCAGAGATTAAAGGGACAGCTTTTAAGATTAAAGAAGGAGCCAGAAGTTTTACAAGAGTATGATAGAGTAATTAAAGAACAGTTAGAGCTAGGTATTATAGAACCAGTTGTAGAGTTAGAGAGAGCTGATAAGATCCATTATCTACCACATCATGCTGTGGTTCGTAAAGATGCAAAGACCACTAAGGTCAGGGTTGTGTATGATGCATCGAGTATAGAGACTAAGAAAGGTGTATCTTTAAATGACTGCTTGCATGTTGGGCCACCTCTATCCCCGTTGTTGTATCACATTATATTGCGTTTTAGAGAAAAGCGAATCGCGCTTGTAGCAGATATAGAGAAGGCTTTTTTAAATATTGAAATTGATCCGTGTGACAGAGATTGTTTGAGGTTTCTTTGGGTGGGCAACATACATGAAGATGAGGTGAAGCCAGTATAGTCTAGATTTTGTAGAGTTGTTTTTGGTGTGAACTGTTCACCATTTTTGCTGAATGCCACATTTCAACACCATCTTGATCGCTTTTCGAAGGGTAATCCTGAATTGACTCGAAAGTTGAAGGACGGCTTTTATGTTGATGATCTGGTAACTGGAGAACAAACCCCTGAGCATGCATTATCATTATATGAGGCTTCTAGTAACAATTTAGCTTCTGGGGGGTTCAAGCTTAGGAAATGGCTCAGTAATAGTAAACTTGTATTAGAGAAAATCCAATCAAAGGAAGAAATCAAGCCTGATAGAGGAAACTTGGCATGTGAAGAAATATTTGCTAAGTCATCCCTTTGCATGAAAGGCAAAAATGACACATCAGAGAAAGTCCTTGGGTTAGCTTGGAATTGTACAACTGACGAGTTTCAGTTTTTGTTTCAGGGTTTAGTTGAGAAAGCAAAATTGGAACCTGTAACCAAGTAAGTATTAAGATGTTGTTTCAAGCAATGTGTTTGGACAAAGTCGATTGGGATTCTGAACTAAAAGGAAAATATTTGAAGCAATGGTTAGGTTGGGTTCATGATCTTGAATTTGTAGGTCAAATTATGATACCAAGGCGTGTGTATGGAAATCTAATTGGAAAACCCAAATGTTCATTACATGAGTTTGGTGATGTTAGTTTGAAAGCAGTTGTGTATTATGTCTGTGAATTAAGTTCAGACGAGACTAGTTACAAAATTGAAGAGAATGATGAGACAAAGGTTAAGCGTAGGTTTAGGCATCTAGTGAAACTGCGAGTTCACTTTTGGGAGAGATGGAGAAAGGAATACTTGACGAATTTGAGAGAGCATCATAAAGTGAAGAAGGGAGATGTAGTTTTAGTATTTGACGAGAACCTTAAGAAAGGATTTTGGAAGTTAGGTAGGATTGAGAGTTTAATTGTCGGTAAAGATGAAGTGGTTTGAGGAGCGAAAGTGAGAGTGATGACTAAAGGAAATCCAATATATCTTAATAGACCAGTTCAGAAATTGTATCCTGTAGAGTTAAATGAGAACGGAAGCGGTACGGAAGAAAGAAAGGATAATAAAGTTGAAAATGAAGTGGATGGGTATGATAACCAGAAAGGAAAGACGAAAATTAATGAGAAAGGAAAGACGGAAATGAATGAGAAAGACGGAGAGAAGGGTAAGGTGGAAAGCTGTGTCCATAGTAATAGACCCAGGAGAGCAGCAGCTTTGGATGCACGTTGGAGAACACAAGTCATGTTTGACCCTTACAGGCTCAAAGGGGGGAGTGTGTAGAATAATTTGTAATACTATATTATTGATAACGACGTAGGATAACAAACAATGGGTGATTTAGTTGATTGACGTAAGAAATGTATCGTATGTCATGAATATAGACTTTGAATTGATTGTCAGACTGAAAGCACGAGAGAAAACCAGAAGGATTGTTTGTTATATATTTTATCGTTTGAATAGTTTAAATAAATATGTTTGAAAGTACGCGTGTGTGTTCTATTTCCGATGGTATTGTTCTGATAGTATACAGTCCCCACGAAGCGCAACTGTCTTGCGGTGTAAGACAGAAAAGTGCAATAATATGCTCATATTTTTGTGTTCCTGTGATTATTCTCGCCGCGAAGTTTTGCACTTTTTGTAATTTTTCTATGTTCTTCTTGGTCGTACTGGACCATACGTTTGAGCAATAATACAATTTGGAAAATACTTGGGACGAGATGACATTTTCCAAAATCCTAGGGTCAAAAAGATGTTTGACCCTGTTTATCTGACATAAGCTCGCAATGCAAGTAGAAACAGTGTTTGCTATATGTTCGTTAAAACTTAGTGTTGAATCAAGTTGAATCCCGAGATCGCGTGCTGAAATAGTGGGAGTAATCCTTTTCTCAAGTAATGTCACATAAAAGTCATCCGGTAATCGTTGCAACATTTTGTGTGTTCCTAACACTTTGATCTTGTCTGAATTAATTAGTAGACTATTGTGACAGCACCATGCTGTGATTTTTGACAGGTCTTCATTGATATTCCGCATAACTTCATTAACATACTTGATGGGAAACGAAAGATACAATTTTGAATTTTCTAAGTCACCGAACTTCGGGATGGTGGGCAAATCATTCAAATATATATTGAACAAAGCAGGTCCTAATATCGAACCTTGAGGTACACCATGAGTGATATGACCTGGTTCTGACACAACTGAGCCAATCTTCACCTGCTGCGTCCTTTCGGTCAAGTAACTTTTGAACCATTCTAAGGCGCCAAGGCTTAGGCCTAATGCTTTTAGCTTTGTTAAGAGTTTGCGGTGATCTATACTGTCAAACGCTTTTGACAAATCCAGCAATACTATGACTGTGAGTTCTTTTGAGTCCATTGCTTTAAACACCTTGTCTGTCATAAACACGCCAAGAGTCTCACGTGAATGTAGTTGTTTAATACCACTTTGATTTAAAGCTACTCGTTCACAAATTTTAGAAGTCGCTGGTAGTAACGATAGTGGTCGATTGTTATTTGCCACTTCGTGGTCTCCCTCTTTAAGAAGTGGTATTACTTCTGATATTTTCCAGGCTGATGGAAAAACTGAAGTCTGTAACGAGCGATTTATCATGTTAGTAATAACTGGGAGAATACAATCTTGTACAACACAACGCAACGAAGGCATGATCGAGTTTTACTATAGTCGCGTATAAATTTTTATGTTGCACGCCCAGCATGTGTTGAGACTATAACGTCAAAGACTCCCGAACACTTGAACTTTCCAATATGGCGGATTTTAATGGCGGCCACCAAAATTCGAACTTCATCGTTGTATAACTCAGGCCAAATATAAGATATCACGCTAAAATTTTGCGTGACAGTTTCTTTATACGCATTCTTCACAATCATGTGAAAAAAACAGAAATGAAAATTTGGTCACAGTGGCACTTTAATAAAACGCCAGTTTCTAGCATATAGAAATCACCAATATCTCCAAAACTTGGCCATCGACACCATTAAATATCATAGAGTTGTTGTTCGCATACCATGTAAGCTTGATAGAATAGAATAATTCTGCCATAAAATGCTTCAAATTCTCGAGATCACCCAGTCACTTGGTATCAACGGATGACTGAAATACACAAATAAAATTAAAGGACAATTCTTGAAGCAAATCTTTAGGAACCATAAACGGTCGGTAGCATCCTTGATGGTCGGTAGCATCATGGAAAGCATCTGCCGTTCTCCTTGACATTGAGACACCTTCCGAGTTCTTTGAAGAAATTCGATAACACGTGCAATAGTACATTTACTTCATTAGCGAGCATGCTTTTAACCAATTCAGTCAGTGAATGCTTTCAGGAAAATGTTTATGTAACAGTACATATGAAGTGTAGTGAATTACTATGCTATTCAGATAAAAAAGATAATGTAGGACGTCATTGTACAATTTTAATACCAAGTACCGTGCATAAAATGTTGTGCATTACCGTATTTAGTCTTTTAAACGCAGCCCCCGATTGAGCACCCTCCCGATAAAGCGCCGTATATGAGAGCAATATTATTAAAGAGCGCCACACTCGAATGAGCCGGCACCTATTCACAATAACCTGGCAATCCAAGCACCACTTGAAAAATTGGAAGGAGAACGCCTTGGGTACGATAATGCAATGTTTACAAAGTCTCGAAACGTTTTTCTCAGGCATTCCAATGTGTTTGATTTCATATTTTTTACTACTATTCCTTGTTATCGCTTTTAAAATAAAATATTTTATAAACAGAGCCAACCTCAAATAAGCGCCGCATCGGCAGCACTAAAAATTTAAAGAGCGCCGCAGCACTTAAACGAGTAAATACGGTCAACTCTGGGTTCTCGTTCATAGGGGGTCTAGATGCACGCTTCCTGAAAGAAAATCGAAACATACAGTCCACAAAATGTCATATGAGTTTATATGTTACAGAATTTTAACGATTATAAAACGTCTTATAAAATAAAAGTGTAAAAAAAATACATTCAGGAATTAACTAGAATTTTCCCGGTCACAAGAGCTAACAACTTCACCACAGTTTCCAAGTCAAGGTATTTTAATCCGAATTTTTGGTATGTTATCTTTAACTTGAGACCCGTTGGCACCAGGCGTAGAATGACTGTCAAGTTTTTTATTAGAAAATTCCTAACACCCAATCTCAAATTTGCACTACTTTTGAGAAGCTCTACCTTCAAAAGGGGCTGTTGGGGGACTTTCCGATATGGTTAATACTTGTTCCAGTTTTTAACAACATTATTTCATATGCTATCCTTCGTTATTGAATGTTTTGTTATACTTTTGTAAAATATTCTTCTCAACAAATGTTTTACAAAATTTGATGACTTCATTTGTTCCAGTCTAATGCTCACGCCAGTTTTCATGCGGTCTTGTACGAGTTGGATATAGTCATAGCTTTCAGCCGTGGCAGGATGATTTTCTCCAAACAGTGTCAACCTGATTTGAAGAGCACGTTCATGCGACGCCAATGCCGACTTGTAATCTTTCATCTCCAGTTGTATGACTCCGATGAAGGTATAAGTGTCAGCAGCGTCAGAATGGCCTTCTCCACACAATTTTTTTTTTATTTGAAGAACATGTTGACCAGACACTAATGCAGATTTGTAATCTTTCATTTCATACTGCGTGAATCCAATGCTGTAATAACTTTGAGCAGTGTCAGCATGATCTTCTCCAAACAATTTTAATCTGATTTGAAGAGCATGTTGATGTGACTTTAATGCAGACTTGAAATCTTCCATCTCATCTTGCGTGAATCCAATGCTGTAATAACTTTGAGCTGTGTCAGCATGATCTTCTCCAAACAATATTAATCTGATTTGAAGAGCATGTTGATGTGACTCTAATGCAGACTTGTAATCTTCCATCCAACTTTGTATGACTCCAATGTTGCGATAACTTTCAGCTGTGTCAGCATCATCTTCTCCAAACAATTTTAATCTGATTTGCAGAGCATTTTGATGTGAGTCTAATGCAGACTTGAAATCTTCCATCCAACTTTGTGTGATTCCAATGCTGTGATAATTTTCAGCTGTGTCAGCATGATCTTCACCAAACAATTTTAAACTGATCTGAAGAGCATGTTGATGTGAGTCTAATGCAGACTTGAAATCTTCCATCCAACTTTGTGTGACTCCAATGCTACGATAACTTTCAGCTGTGTCAGCATGAACTTCTCCAAACAATTCTAATCTGATTTGAAGAGCATGTTGATGTGACTCTAATGCAGACGTATAATCTTTCATGTCATTTTCTGTGACTCCAATGCTGCGATAACTTTCAGCTGTGTCAGCATGAACTTCTCCAAACAATTTTAATCTGATTTGAATAGCATGCTGATGTGAGTCTAATGCAGACTTGTAATCATCGATCCAATTTTCTGTGACTCCAATGCTGCGATAACTTTCAGCTGTGTCAGCATGAACTTCTCCAAACAATTTTAATCTGATTTGAATAGCATGTTGATGTGAGTCTAATGCAGATTTGTAATCTTCCATCCAACTTTGTGTGACTCCAATGACGTGATAACTTTTAGCTGTGTCAGCATGAACTTCTCCAAACAATTTTATTCTGATTTGAAGAGCATGTTGATGTGATTCTAATGCAGACTTGTAATCTTCCATCCAACTTTGTGTGACTCCAGTGCTGTAATGCAGATTTGTAATCTTCTATCCAACTTTGTGCGACTCCGATGTTGCGATAACTTTCGGCTGTGTCAGCATGAACTTCTCCAAACAATTTTAATCTGATTTGAAGAGCTTTGATGTGAGTCTAATGCAGATTTGTAATCTTTCTATCCAACTTTGTGTGACTCCGATAACTTTTAGCTGTGTCAGCAGCATCTTCTCCAAACAATTTTAATCTGATTTGAAGAGCATGTTGATGTGATTCTAATGCAGATAATCTTTGATGTCATTTTGTGTGACTCCAATATCGTGATAACTCTCAGCTGCGTCAGCATGAACTTCTCCAAACAATTTTAATCTGATTTGAAGAGCATGTTGATGTGACTCTAATGCAGACTTATAATCTTTGATGTCATTTTGTGTGACTCCAATATCGTGATAACTCTCAGCTGCGTCAGCATGAACTTCTCCAAACAATTTTAATCTGATTTGAAGAGCATGTTGATGTGACTCTAATGCAGACTTATAATCTTTGATGTCATTTTGTGTGACTCCAATGTCGTGATAACTTTCAGCTGTGTCAGCATGAACTTCTCCAAACAATTTTAATCTGATTTGAAGAGCAAGCTGATGTGACTCTATTGCAGACTTATAATCTTTGGTGTTATTTTGTGTGACTCCAATGTCGTGATAGCTTTCAGCTGTGTCAGCATGAACTTCTCCAAACAATTTTAATCTGATTTGAAGAGCAAGCTGATGTGACTCTAATGCAGACTTATAATCTTTGGTGTTATTTTGTGTGATTCCAATGACGTGATAACTTTTAGCTGTGTCAACATGATCTTCTCCAAACAATTTTAATCTGATTTGAAGAGCATGTTGATGTGACTCTAATGCAGATTTATAATCTTTCATGTCATTTTGTGCGACTCCAATGTCGAGATAACTTTCAGCTGTGTCAGCATGATCTTCGCCAAACAATTTTAATCTGATTTGAAGAGCATGTTGATGTGACTCTAATGCAGACTTGTAATCTTCCATCCAACTTTTTGTGACTCCAATGCTATGATAAGTTTCAGCTGTATCAGCATGATCTTCTCCAAACAATTTTAATCTGATTTGAAGAGCATGTTGATGTGAGTCTAATGCAGATTTGTAATCTTCCATCCAACTTTGTGTGACTCCAGTGACGTGATAACTTTTAGCCGTGTCAGCATGGTCTTCTCGAAGCAATTTTAATCTGATTTGAAGAGCATGTTGAAGTGACTCCAAATAATATTAATCTGATTTGAAGAGCATGTTGATGAGATTCCAATGCAGACTTATAATCTTTTATGTTATTTTGTGTGACTCCAATGGCGTGATAACTTTTAGCTGTGTCAACATGATCTTCTCCAAATAATTTTAATCTGTTTTGAAGAGCATGTTGATGAGATTCCAATGCAGACTTATAATCTTTTATGTTATTTTGTGTGACTCCAATGGCGTGATAACTTTTAGCTGTGTCAACATGATCTTCTCCAAATAATTTTAATCTGTTTTGAAGAGCATATTGATGTGAGTCTAATGCAGACTTATGATCTTTCATTTTATTTTGTGTTACTCCAATCTCATGACAACTTTCAGCTTTGTCAGAATGAACTTCTCGAAACAATTTTAATCTGATTTGAAGAGCATGTTGATGTGAATCTAATGCAGACTTGTAATCTTCCATACAACTGCGAGTGACTCCAATGTTGTGATAACTTTGAGCGGTGTCAGCATGATCTTCTCCAAACAATTTTAATCTGATTTGAAGAGCATGTTGATGTGACTCTAATGCAGACTTATAATCTTTCATGTTATTTTGTGTGACTCCAATGACGTGATAACTTTTAGCTGTGTCAGCATGATATTCTCCAAACCGTTTTAATCTGATTTGAAGAGCATGTTGATGTGATTCTAGGGCTGTCTGATAGTCTTTCATAGAGTATTGTGTTGATCCTTGTTGGTCCTTGTTGAAAGATCTGCGTTAAAACAATGTTAAGATGTTACTTTAACTATTTGTATACCATTTTCCTAATCTAAAGTTTTCTCTAGGTAGAAAAGACATTACTATTTTTGCATGACTTTGTTAGCAAATCTATTAATTAATTATACCTCAGGGAAAAGTTACATAGTTTGGGACTGTGGACGAGGCTAAAAACCGAGTGGGAAATCTATCATTGGAATTTAAGACCGAGCTCGCAGCACGAGTTATATTTTTCGTAAAACATTTATCATACCTCTTGCTTATTGCTTTCTTTGTTTCGTTCACCTCTACCATGTTTTCAATATCCACCTTCAGTCCTTCTACTTTAATTCCAATCTGCGAAAATTCTTCCTGCAAGCGTTCTTTCATCCTTCCTGATTCATAATCTGCTAAGACTTCCAGAAATCTTTCGTCTGTAAAACAATGTAATCGAACATGCAAAGATCCTGGTCGGATACCTCGAACTTCTTGGTCATCTCGTTCACCACCAAGACCTCTTGTAACCGCACTCTCGATTAATGGTTTTAATAATTTATAACCAAAATAAAGAGCACCTAGTGTGGTTACAGTCTTGCACACTTCTCGTGCTACTTGCACATTGTCAGTGCTGATATTGATTGAAAAGTTACCACCAACAGGGTTACACGATACATTAACAGTTAGAGCCTTCGCAACTTCCAACAATGATTCTGCCATAACAATTTTTTTCCTAGAAATTTAATTAATAGAATAGAAATTGATTAGCAGCTAATCGCTATTAACTATTTGTGGTTTGTTGGGGTTTTAGCATAGGTGGTCTTATAAAAGTACCGACTGTATTTTTCTTCTGCATGCGTAAATATTGTGAGATAATATTAATATTTAACGACAGAATTTGGTGGAAATGAAGGTTTTGAGACATTTTTGAAGATATGTTTATTTACATAGCCCTTGAGTCAGGCCCGGAGCTACGGGGGGGTGTGGGGGGGTGTGACACCCCCCCAGTAATTGTATTTAGTCGGCAGGACTGCTATTCAGTCGGTAGGACTGCTATTCAGTCGGTAGAACTGCTACTTGGGTTAAATATTTTTGGCGCAAAGGGCAAGAACGTGGTGGTAATTTTAGGAAAATTTTGAGGAAAAATGTAAAAATTTTGGAAAAATGTTAAAAAATGTTGAAAATTTGGGGTAGTTCCTCGGGTAGAGGAGAAGTGATCACGTGATCGGCTAGTTGTGTTGTTTGTGGCGTCAGATATAACCAAATCCCTATCTCTAAGCCTAATCCTTACCCTAACCCTCACCCTAACCCTAACCCTTACCCTAACCCTTACCCTAACCTCAAAACTAATCGCTATAACTAACTGATGACGTAGTCTGTGATGCAAATTCTTCTACCCGAGGATGTACCCAAAATTTGCTATGTGCGAAAAATTTTTGAATGTTCCGGAAAAATTTTGTACGTCCGGAAAAATTTTTTTGGACCCCTAAAATGGTACACTGACAAAATTTTTTCGGCGACCAAAAAAATTTCGTTCCGGAAAAAATTTTTTGAACCAGTCGGTTGAATTGAATTACACCCCCCCTGAAGAATTTCCTGAGGACGGCCCTGCCTTGAGTAAAATATTTGGTATTTTATTTAGGACTTTAGTTGTTTCATATTAGCCATATTAGCTCGAAACTTTATATTGAATAAAATATATCAAGGTTTCTCCTACCTCAGTGTTTAATATTCAGTACACAGCATATGCAACCTACACATACTCAACTACGATGAGCTAGCTCATCTTAGGAGTCAATTTGTGGTCGCAATTCGTGGAAAATCGGCTTGCCCGCAAAGTTCTAGTATTGACACGACACGCACGAAAGGTATAGGGTCACATCACAAACGTTATGGTACAGATGTATTGTACAACAGTTAAATGTTAATATAATGTACACATTTTTTCACCCTTGAGAATATTGAATCAGAAAAACTGAGTGCAAAACTAATCATGCTTTGAATAGGGATGGCAGTGCCTATTTGCCAAAAGAATACATGCATCTTATTGGCAGATGACGTATCCCTTGGGGATGAAGACACTAGACTGGAGTGTCGAAACGTTGGGTCTTGATTACAATTCGACTGGGTTTTGTATTCATCATATAAACCAGAGTAGCGAGCAAAAACATGACTTTGGAAAAGTTATTGTCTGACTATTGTAATATTCATGAATAATTAATAAGGCCATAATAAGGCCACAAACAAATCGCGATGCGGTATTCAAGTCACATGTGCACACTTGTAAACCGCATTAAAGATCAGAAAATCGTGTAAGAGGGATGTTTATGAAAGTTAACAATACTAATTGAGAAGCATGGATGTTTACGAAAGTTAACAATACTAATTTAAGTTTTAATAGCATCCTAATGAAGCGTGAGATTGTCCCCATGGGCAGAGCATACTAATAAAGTAAACAAATAAATTCATTTTACAAGTATGGGCATTAAATGCCCACAACGATCAGCTACTCATATTTTAACTAGTACTTAAAGTTGTTCTCATTCGTATGCAAACTGTCTTGCAAAATTTAGAGATGGTATACAACAAAATATTGTGGTTAAAACATTTAACGAAATGCTGACATGCTGGTCCACCGGTAGACAAACACAAACGCAAACGCAAACGCAAACGCAAACGCAAATGCACAGACAAACACACGGACAGACAAACACACGGACAGACAAACACATGGACAGACAAACACACGGACAGACAAACACACGGACAGACAAACACACGGACAGACAAACACACGGACAGACAAACACACGGACAGACAAACAGACAGACAGACAGACACACGGACAGACAAACACACGACAGACAGAGACAGACAGACAGACAGACAGACAGACAGACAGACAGACAGACAGACAGACAGACAGACAGACAGACAGACAGACAGACAGACAGACAGACAGACAGACAAACAAACGGGCAAGCAAACGGGCGGGCAAGCAAGCAAACAAACGGTAAAGTTCTAGGGTACTATGGCACTAGTGCACTACAGTGTTATGATACGGCGGTGCTATGCATGTGTGGGAGGGTCTGCCTTGCCCGTATTTTCCCCCAACCCTTTATAAATCATGAATATAAACGCTTTTGACAGGGATCGTGCAAAACTTGAAAGTCCTTGCGAATCCTTGAAATTCCTTGAATTCTCCTTGCTTTAATTTTTGGATATTTTCTGAAATTTGTTTGAAACTAAAAAACGAACATTTTGTTGAACTAATTTGTTCGTGCCCTACAAAGCTGTTTGAAAGTTGCCATTCAACCTCGTACCCAGGACTAGCCTCGAATTGAAAGCATCGGACTTCAGCGCGCTATTGTATCTGAATTGTATCACGAAAAAGGTGTCTTATTTTCTATCTACTAGAAAGAAAACACGATAGATAATTTTAACACGATAATTTTTCAAGAATATTTTTGCAAATGAAAATCCCCTCAAAATATCACTTTTAATTACAAAATTATCAATTTCCCAAATATATATGTGACGTGATCGCGTGAGCGTGCAGAAACTTATTTTGCACATTTTTGCTTTGTAACTTAATTTGGACATTTTTGCATAAAAATGTTGTTGAATCTGGTGTGTAAAGTGCTTGTCTATGGATGTACTGGATATCTTCGTGTTTTACTGTTTAATGGAAAAGTATCTTGGAAAATGTGTGTTTATGTTTTGAGAATTTGTTTGTTATTGGTTTTTCAGTATGCTTACGTAATAAAACCGTTTCTTCTGCGCAATTGTTTGCGCACGCGAATGAGAAAAAGAGGGACTGGATACAAGCTATCAAAGAAATTAACGGTACTTGGCTTTCTAGTTACGTTCTGTGTTTTAATAGTGCCAGAAGAACTTTCTCGCAACACTATATAATTATGTTTTATCAAAATCTCAGCAACTCTATCAAATAAACTGTGTGAATTCGAGAACAATACTCTATGGTAATTTCGCAAAAAGGAAGTTTTCAGATTGTTGTATTGCGTATTATTCAAATTCTTTTGCTTCAAAGCAAATTCTGTAACTCTCTGGTGCCATTGAGTTAAATCCCGGCCCTAGTACACAAAGCGTTGACAGTCGCAAAGATTATTTAGAACAGTTTGTTCATTCGTTAGACAACTCGTCAACCAACCTACGAATTGCACACATCAATATTCATAGTCTCCGGAACAAACTAGATGAAATCAGTGGCGTGCTGGCAGGGGGGGGGCCGGGGGGCCACGGCCCCCCCAGCTGGCGATTCTTGGGGGGCGCAAAAATGAAAATGGGGCGCCGAATTTTGAAAGTGGGTGGGAAAAAACACATTCTCGAAAAAATATGGTTACTTCCGCCAAGAAAAGACGTGTTTATAGGCTACAGTATAAAACAGGCTAAGCGCATAGGCGACATATATTAAATTACAGACTATTTTGCCTAACCGTATTTGCTACCTCACAGCTCACACGAAATCGTTCATACAAAAACATGATCAGTGATCACAGGCAATGTCTCATTACCGGAATATTGGTCAGGTTTCGATCGAAGCGATCACGGGAATTATGCCCTTTTTTGCTGGTATTATGCCCTTATAATATGCCCTTTATTATGCTTCACGAATCACGAGGGCGGCGCAAATTAGATAGTTGAAGTTATGATAACTGATGTAAAGTTGTGTATGCAATTTAGTTGTTTGCACAAGAAGCATGAGTAATGTAAGTAATGAAATAATGCTGAAACATGCCTTTTGGGCAGCCAGGCAAAGAAACCTTAAAATGCATGTGCGTGGGGTGCGTGTGTTATTGTATAAAAGAGCTTTAAGTTGTAAATGTGTTCAGAGCAGTAGATCAGTAGAGAACAGAATTGGGATTAAATTAATCGCTGGAAGTAGTTAGCATTGCATAATTTAAGTACTACTACTAAATTCTAACCAAATTGCAAATTTCGACACGTTATAATGCCGTTTCCTGATCATCAGATTTCTGTCAAATCTTCCCCCAAAGTCCAGGAAATGGCATTTCAGAGACTCTAAATTCAAAAAATTTGCAGGGGGCATGCCCCCGGACCGCCCTAGACAAACCTCGCACCTGCGGCACTCGGCTCGTGCCTTAGGCCCTCGTTTATCAAGTGTAACATTATAGGGGCGCATATTGGTTGACAGCCAACTGGCCCCTCCAGAAAAATAGTACCCAGCACGCCACTGGATGAAATTAAATTACTGCTGAATTGAAAGTATGCCGTTTTGATGTGCTGTCAATAACTGAGTCGCACCTTGAAGCAAAGATTTCTAACCAACAATTATAGTTCGAAAGGACAGAGATAATGGCCCCGGAGGAGGTTTCGTTGTTTATGTTTCAAATAACATTTGTTGCTCGCGACTTAAATCTCTAGAGACACACGAAATCGAAGGAATATGGTTTAACTTTAAGGTGGCTCCCTACAGTTATTCTTGTTTAAGCAATAATTCCGTAAAACAGGCTTATTCGTGCAGAACGCGAATTCTTTTCGACTTGGTGGCAATATTGGTCACCTAAGGAATATTTCGAACTAGATTTCGACAATGTCAATGTTCCCATGGCAACATGACGACAGCATAAAGCCTTCCAATTTAACCCATAAATGTGCCGCTATCTCAAAAACAATGTCGGTGATCTATCTTTTTTATTTCATATATCAATAAGGAATGATGCTCTGCAACTGTGGTGAAAGTCTAAAAAATTTCTGTAGTGTGTGATTTTTTTAAAAGCGAAAAATTTATTGCGGAATTTCCACACTACAGATTTTTTTAAAATTTGAAATTTTTTAAAATTTACCGCAAAATAAATTCGTGGCCAAAATTTGAAGATAGGTCACCGATGAAACTAATGAGTAAAATGCAAATAAAGTTAGAAAATAGCCTCGTGTAACTCGAGAAATTCCCCTATTGAAAAGCGTCGCTGACTAGTAAAAGATTGTACGCGGGCGCAGAACGAGTTTTCATTCAGCAAAATCGAGCCGCAATGTTGTTTTTACTGTTTTGTTTTTGTCAACTTTTCGATTTATTTGAGTGCTATGGACAACCAAGGATTATTGTGAAGGATTAAATCGATGAAAACAAGGTTGAAGCTAATTGAATCCTGCCGTTTACTCAATCAATGAGCTGTAACAGCCTATTAACAGGTGGACGTGTTTTTTGTTTCATGTTTGGTTTTGTACTTTCTGCTATAAAAAATGAACAATTAGGCTATGAAACTGAAATATTTTCCGTTTACATATAATCACTTTAATCTTGTAGAAACACGATTAAAAACGTGAACGTTTTCTTGAGAAGTAAACAACTTTTTAAACGTTTGTGTGCAATTTTGCAAATGTTTTACAGTTGAATCAGTTGACAGTGCATAAATTAAAAATATTGTTTCGTAGCTATTTTTTGGTCTAGTGATATTCGTATCATATGTATAATTGCTGTATAGATTCGCAAGTGATTTGGCACTCAAAACGAAGTATTATTCAACGCTTTTTTCCATTAGAAACCTTTCAGAAATAGCTTTATTTTTAAAAAAGCATGGTCAATTTTTGTTTTGTTTTGATCATGCAGTTGCGTGGGATAGTTCACGTACTTGTCCCGCAAACATCCCGCACGGAACTGTAGGGAACCTCCTTAAACTCACAGTTAACTCGACCTCAACTATACTAGGAACTGTCTATAGACCTCCGTCGGACTACAATTTCTTCAACAGCTTTTATACGGTTTTGGAAAAAGTGTGGAGTAAATTCAGAAATGTGTTAATCATTTCTGATCTAAATGCTGATATAACTCGTTCGAAAACGGTGAAATTGTGTCAAGACAGGGTAAAAAACTACTCCGGATATTACAACATTTTAACTACTCTGTAATGAACGATCAGTCAACTATAGAGTTACAGCAACATCCTCAACCCTCATTGACCATATAATTTCCAGTACACCGGAAATAATTATAGAAACAAAATGTTTGGAGTTAGGAATTTCCGATCACATGTTAGTGTACGTTTCATTAGTAACCAAGGTAAAAAGACCTCCACCAAAGATTATCAACACACGCACCTACAGTAAGTTCAACTTGGAACATTTTCGGAAAGATATCGAAGAATTCGAAGAACCTTGGTCTGTGTGTTCCGTGTTTGATGATACGGACGATGTTTACTGGGCGTGGGATCATCTTTTTAACAACATCTGCGAAAGACATGCGCCTTACAGACAAATCAAAGTAAGACAGAACTCCTTGCCATGGATCACCCCACAAGTTCGCCATCTGATAGATCGCAAAACCCGGAGTTGTTTGCGGAATACCGCGCATTGAGAAATGGAGTAACACGCAAGTAAGACTTTCCAAAACTAAATACTGCATAGACCTGTTCAATGAAGTAAAGAGTTGTAAGTCATACTGGAGATTGCTGAAAAATGCTACGAATAAACTGTCGAGTAAACCAATACTTGGTATTAAAGGACTAGATGGCAAAATCATAACATCTGATCAACAGAAAGCTGAGTTGGTGAAAAACTGGCTGATACACTTCCCGCTGTAGAAGATAGATAGATAGATAGATTATTTAATAAGTTACCTTGCAATTTTACACTGAATTGCGCAACTTTTACAAAAAATTTACAACTTAACTACTTTACTAACTAAAATTTCTTTAAGAGTCAAAGTCTTATTTTAAAAGTTAACCCGAGTAACTTTGCTTTGGTTATCCTCAAAATGGGATTTTCGTCTATAATACTAGGTGAGAATTGTGGAGGATGGGGTCGGCTAAAACTTATGATCAGTTCCTTTGTCTTTTCACTGTTTAGTTGCATCAAGTTTTCCTTTGACCATTCATTAACTTGGTCCACTGCCTGTTGTACATGGCTGTGTTGCCCCTTTGATATGGTTTCCGATACTGTAGTGTCATCGACATATTTCCACATGTTGAAAATTTCAGAAACTGACAAGTCGTCAATCATTAGTAGGAATAACCAGGGTTCAAGTTTGGTACCCTGGGGAACACCAGAGGGAATCTTGCCCCAGTCTGATAGGCAGTCCTTACTAAGCTTCACTCGTTGTGATCTATCTGAGAGGAAGTCGATTATCCAATTTTTGATGCTGTTTGGTATACCAATTTCTTTCAATTTGGTGATTAGGATGCCATGATCTATGAGATCAAACGCTTTACGGTAGTCGAACAAAATGACCCGTACTGCAGATCCATTACCGTCTGTAGCTTCGAGCCAGTTATGCACCATACCTATTAGAGCTAACGTAGTGGAAGAACCAGAGACGGTGCCAAATTGATTACGATCTACTTTCTTCTCTAAAGCTGGTCTAATATAGTCTGAAACTACAAAGTCTTCTGCAATTTAGAAACTGCAGAAGTCAGAGAGATAGGTCGTAGCTCTTTCTTTGGGTCAGTAACTTGCTTTACTTTGGGGAGAGGTGTAATATCTGCCAGTTTCCAAGTTTTTTGTAGTTTTTGTTCTTTGTACGAGGCGTTTATTATATCCGCAATTGGCTGCGCTAGGAACTCGGCATAGTCTTTCAGCATCCAGTTTGATACACCATCAGGACCAGAGGCTTTTTTTTATTCAGGTGTATCAAATTATTATACACTCGATAAGCTGGTACTTCGAGGAATTCAGGATTTTCTTCCAACGGTAAAAATACATCTGCGGATTCAGGATCGAGAGGTTTTAAAACTTGCAGGGGATCTAACAGAGCTTCGTTGATGGCATTGGCGATTTCTGGGTTTGTCTTATCATTGTATTCGGGGATGTTGAGGGAACATTGCAAATTTGAATTTTTCTTTTTGGATCCGCTTAACTTGTTGATTTCATCCCACCACTTTCGTTGGTTGACTCCTTTAAGGTCTTTCACCTTAGAGGCGTAATACGCTGCTTTACATCTTTTCCTTTCCTTATTTACTGCATTACGATAGAACTTATATGATAAACTGTTTTTGTTCTTGTGGAAGGCGATCTGGCGCTGGTGTATTAACTTCTTCAACTTTACAGACATCCACGGGGTGTCTGTAGGATAAATCTTTATCGATTTTTCGGGTAAGATGTTTTCCAAACCAATCGTGAAGAGATCATTAAAGACTTTAGATTTGTTTTCGCAGGTATTTTGACTATATAAACACGACCAATCAACGCAGGCAAAGTAGCGACCAAGGCGGGCCCTATTGCTTTCTCGCATATCACGTATTGTTACAGTTTTCCGAGTATGCTGATTTGGGATTCTTAATGCTGGTTTTAAGAAAACTGTATTATGGTCCGACAAACCCAACGGAGGGAAACATTCAGGTGTGGAAAAGTGTTTATTCATGTTCGTCAGAATTAAATCAAGTATTGCTGTTCCTCTCGTATGAAATTTAACTAGTTGTTTTAGCTTGAAGTGGTTTTTCAATTGGTTGAGGTTAAGTCGATTGAAATCACCGGTAATGATTATTCCGCAATTCGGAAAGATGGATTCTGCCGTCATCAAACTGTCGAACAGGTGGCTAATGATGTTCGTGGCATCAGATTCTGCTGGGCTTGTTCGGCCTGGATAATAGACAACCGCTAATATGATGCATGAAAAACCCCGAGGAATTCGTTTAAGATTTAGTTTAATCCAAATTATTTCATGATGCTCACAACATTGTAGATCTCCAATGGTTTCATATTTTATATTGTCCTTTAGGTAGATACAGACTCCTCCGTGTTCGTGGGAGGTACGATCTTTCTGAATCACATTGTAGCCCTCAATATTCACCACCGTGTCGTCTATGTGATTTTTCAGCCAGGTTTCGACTATACATGCAATTTCGACATTTAGCCGTAAAAGCAGTTCTTGTATTTCAATCAGCTTTGGGACCAGAGACATAGTATTTGACAGCATAATGTTAGGAACGAAGCTTGTTTGATTCTCAAATGTTTTCTGGGTCTCAGCTACAGGAATAACAACTAAATTATTCGTATTTACTCCCCGAAAATCGTTGTAGTTTGAATAAATTTTCCGTGGTTGAGCTATCACGGGAATATTTAACTTTCTCGCTGCCTCCTTCATTTTAGTTTTAAACCCAGCTCTTCTGCCTCTAGGAAGCCAATTTCGATTAAGTCCATTGTTATAATGATAGCTGAAACTTCCAGATGTATTCATTGTTATAGAAAACAGACTTGAGTTACTAGAGTTATCAGTCGATTTACACAAACAATATGGCTCCGCTTGACCAACTTCAGCAGCGTCTGAGATAAAACTTCCAACATATATCCTTAAATAGATCACCAACAACTCCACTATATACATCACGTTCCCAGCTCGAAATGGATCATTTATTAAGTTGGAGCACCGTTAGATTGTTTATAGAAACTGTTGTTAAGATAACTGTATTTTGTAGTTAATTCGTAGTTGACATTTTATGGTTGACATTTCGAAACAGTAAACTTGGGCAACCTATGTCCAATGAGGGGTTGCTAGGCAACGGGTTTTAAGGACGTTCGAAAAACGTTGTTCGTGAGATTTTATGAGGGAAATATTACTTTTATTATTGTTCTTTTCGTTTATTTTTGTTAAATTAAAGTTTATAAAAAGAGTTTCGAGTCTTGAGAACATATTTTTGGCGATCCTGCCAGGACATTGGAGTTTTATAATGATATAATCGTGATCTTTCGTTCGTAGTATTGGAAAAATATTGACAGGCGGCATTTGCAAGAAGTATTCGTATCGTTGTTGGATTTAATTTCGCAAAAGTGTGAGGAATTGTCGATGGTTGGGACGTAAGAGAATCTTGAATTGTTGTATACGGTTGCGTGTGGGTTTTAATTCGTGATAAATATCGTAAAAGATCGAAAAATATCGGAGACATTGCGAGTAATTTATGCGTGTTTTGAAAATTTGAAATATCGAATAAATTAACGAATATCGAATAAATTAACGAATATGGAATAAACTAACGGATTGAATTTGCTAGTGTGGGTTTTTTATTAATGCAAGAATATTGTTAGTTATCGGATTTTATACAAACGTTCAGCGTGCGGGAACTTGTGTTCGCTAGTTTTTTACTGGAATTGTTGATCTATATTTGGACAAAGTGTTGTTTACCCTTTTTTGTACATTTTGAGCTTGGAGAAAAAATATCTAGTAAATTGGCATAATTTGTTGGTATCTGAAACTTAAGTGTTGCTATCATGTCGGACACAGAACTGGATCCTAGTGAAATACCAGAGGAGCCTAAAGCGGATGAGGAAGTTAAACAAAAGCTAGTTCTAATCGAGTTAAACCGACGAAAACGAGCCAGTAAACGTAGCACAACGAAAGCAAGGCATCATCTTGAGAAGTTAATCGTTGAAAAGGCGGAGGTTGATATACAGGAACTGGAACATCGTGTAGAGACACTGTGGCAAATACTGGAAGATACACAAGTTATCATGGATGAAATGTCTGCATATTTCATGGAACAGAAAGATTTCGAAAGTCATAAGCTTGTGATGCAAGAGTCGAATGAGTTAGAGGGGGAATGTCAGAAGGTCATTGAAAAGACGCAGGCTGTTATTGTTAAATGTGCATCAGAAAGCTGTGTGCTGAGTCCACCCATACAGAAAACTGCCCCAAACACAGGGGGTGAAGCAGAAACCGAAGTCACAGATAATCAAGGGGTTTCCACTTCCGTAACTGGGAATGAAGGTGAACTCGACATAGCTGATGACGTCACAAACCAGGGGCCCCAGGCTGTGGCTCCTGCAACATTAGGGGGTAATGATCACCTACAACAACCGGTTACCGAGAACAGTAGTTCCACCTCAACGGGGTACCCTAGTCCGCAGCATGATGTTACAACAACAAGTAGTGGACATGGAGAAACTGTTATTAACCGTCGGCTGAAGCCATTGAGGGTGCCAACCTTTGACGGAGACAAGAAAAAGTTTGAAGAGTTTTGGGGACTGTTCGTAAGCCTAGTAGATATGTCGAACGAACCAACTAGCTTAAAGATGGCAAGACTCCGCCAAAGCTTAACTGGAATAGCCCTGGACTCAATCCGTGGACTTGGTGTGTCAGGGCCTGAGTATAAGGAGGCGAAGGAGATTTTAAATACAAAATTCGGAGGTCAGAGAAGGCAGCTTCGTGCCTACCTGGATGATTTAGAAAGAATGCACCCCTTACGAGCAGCTGATGTTCAAGGTTTCGAAAGGTTCGCAGACCTAGTAAGAGTGACGGTTGTTAAGTTGCAGGCAGAAGGGAAAGTAGGAGAACTTGGTGATGGAACGCTGTACAGTTTGTTGGTCAAGAAGTTGACAGGACACCAGTTAGAAATTTACACACGATGGATGAATGAGCACAGTAAAGACAGATCGGTTTTAAGTCTACGAGACTGGTTAAAGGAAGAAGTCTCAATTAGAGTTGAAGCAATTGAGCCACCATGGGATAGAATCCGAAGATTCTGTGCGATATAATCGAAAGCAATATCCAACGAAAGGTGGAAGGAGCAATCCAAGTTCCTTTTTCATGGCTTCGAACAATCAACGAAATTCAGCGTTTAACGAAGACAAAAGCCCAAAACAAAAGCCTCCTTGTGCCTTCTGTAGCAGGCCGTATCATGGTATTTGGGCTTGTCGACAGTTTGAACAAAGATCGGTGGAACAACGATGGAACTTTGCAAAAGAGAAACAGCTGTGTTTTCGCTGTTTGAGTAACGATCATCGGGGTAAAGATTGTCGAAGATCGCAGCCGTGCAAAGTGAATGGATGCCAGCTCAATCATCACCGTTTGCTACATCGCCAACCTGTCACTCCACCATCACCCATACCACCTTCCCCCCCAGAGTCGTCACGGGAGGGGGCAGCTTCACGGGAGGGGGCAGGCCCAAGTAACAAAGTGGCAATGATGACACAAAACCACTCATCCTCCAGAGAGCAGTGTTCATTACGGACAGTTCCTGTATGGTTGAAAAACAATGGAAAGAAGGTCAAGGTCAACGCCATACTAGATGACGCGTCGAATGAGTCATTCGTAAACGAACATGTGGCTAACCTACTAGGTATTCAAGAAGCGTTTCAGTCTGTTCAAGTTCACGTTTTGAACAATTCTGTGGAAACATTTCAGTCCATGCCTGCAAAGATTGAAATTGAAAGTGTCAATGGTGATTTTGGCAAAGTTATCGAGGTAAAAACTTGTCCCCATCAAGTTACTGGAACTTATAAAGTTGAAGACTGGAATGAAACGAAGACGCAATGGCCTCATCTCTTACAATGTGAATTTGCAAGGCCGGCGCAAAATGGCCTAGTGGACTTGCTAATCGGAGTGGACAATGCTGATCTGCATTATTCGAAGGTGGACGTGCATGGACCACCAAATAGCCCAATCGCTCGCCTGGGTCCTCTTGGATGGACCTGCATTGGACCGACCGGAAAACTGGATGGTAAGAGGTCTCATCTTATCATGCATTCCTTTTTAACAAGAGATGCTCACGGCGACCAAACAAAGGTTAATTGCTGTGATGTAAATAACACATTGAGAAAGTTTTGGGAAATTGAAAGTTATGGAACCGAAACCAAACGATCAGCGGTAATGACCAAGGAAGAGAAGAATGCATTTGAAAAAGTGGAGTCGTCATTAACGCACAATGGGACCCGCTATTCTATAGCTGTCCCGTGGAAAGAGGACTTCCCGACTCTTCCAACCAATCGGGAAATGGCAGTGAAACGTCTGGAAGGCACCGAAAGAAGTTTGAACACCAAAGGTAACTTTGTTAAGAAAGAATACGAAGAAACAATAAAATCGTACATTGAAAAAGGTTATTTACGAAAGTTGACTCCCGAAGAAATGTCGTCTCCATCGTCTTGGTATCTGCCACATTTTCCGATAGTCAAGTTAAACAAAACAACAACTAAAGTGCGCATAGTGTTCGATTGCTCGGCAAAGTGCGAAGGCGTGTCGCTGAACGATGCAATCTCTGCTGGTCCCAAGTTACAAACCGAACTGTTCGATGTCCTCGTACGTTTTCGGCGAAATCCAATTGGAATTGCCTGCGACATAAAAGAGATGTATTTACAAATCGAGATAGAAGAGAAAGATCGTCCGTACTTTAGAATCTTGTGGCGAGATTACGAGAACGACTGGGAGCCTGATGAGTATGAATTTACACGAGTCGTATTTGGGAAAAATTCGGCGCCTATGGAAGCGCAATATGTCGCCCAAGAAAATGCTCGTCGTTTTCAAGATCGTTATCCACTAGCAGCTGAAACAGTTCTGAAGTCTACATACATGGACGATAGTATCGATAGCGTCGAGGACGAAGCCAAAGCCGAGACTATTCAAAAGGAACTGCAAGAGCTATGGAAGAATGCTGGTATGGAAGCCAGGAAATGGGTCTCTAATTCAAAGCAAGTTCTGGCAGCTATTCCAGAAGAGCATCGAGCATCTGAACTGGTGATTCGAAACGCAGAACAACCAGTGACTAAAACGTTAGGTATTTCGTGGTTCAGTGAAGAAGACACCCTTTCCGTTCCAGCACCACCAATGACTGCATTCGTGTCGGTAACAAAACGAAACGTCCTAAAGAAGATAGCTACAATCTTTGACCCTCTCGGTCTGATTTCGCCGGCGATCATAAAAGGAAAGATATTGCTTCAATCGTTGTGGAGCCGAGGGTATGATTGGGATGATGAAATACATGACGACATAGCAAACCAAATTCAGTCTTGGCTTAATCAGTTACCCGTTTTAGCAGAAGTGAAGATTCCTCGTTGTATTAGACTTGCATTAACAATTACATCTTTCAAGTTGATCACCTTCGTTGACGCCTCAACAAGTGCATTTGGTGCTGCAGTGTATGCCCGGTTCGAGTATGAGCAATCCTATCCTCCTACATGTCGTCTATTGGCATCAAAGAGCAAAGTTGCTCCTTTGGTACCAGTCACCGTACCGCGTCTGGAGTTAATGGCCGCAATAACAGGTCTACGATTGACACAAACAGTTATTGGAGTCTTGGAAATCCCTATGAGCACCGTAACATTCTATTCGGACAGTCTCGATGTGCTTTGGTGGATACGAGGTCATGGAAAGGACTTTCGTGCGTTCGTGGCTAATAGAGTCGGTGAAATACAGATGTTTAGTGATCCTCAACAATGGCAACACGTGCCTACGGAGCAGAATCCTGCAGATCTTATATCACGTGGTATAAACGCTGAAGACCTCAAAGAGAATTCATTATGGTGGAATGGTCCTGACTGGGTATTGAAGGATGAAGACAAGTGGCCAAGAGTTGTTGACAAAAGCCCCCCAACCGAAATGAAAGAAAGCAGGAAGCCTACTGTCTTAGTTAGTCATGGAAGTCCAGTACCACAAAATCCCGCAACGAACGCGACAACAGACGAATGGAGATTAAGCCCCAATCGGTACTCATCGTGGATGCGTCTGGTTTGCATTTATGCACGAGTCGTCCGAGTTCTGTGCAACATGCAGAAGAAAACAAATCGGGTATTTGGAAAAGCGCTACAGCCAGAAGAAATTCAGGACGCAGAAGAAGATATCATTCGCAACGTACAATTAGAAATCTTTTCCGAAGAGTACCAAGCCCTAAAGAGCAACAAAACAATCTCACCCAAGAGTCCTTTGATTAAGCTATCACCTCGAATTGATGAGAATGGAATCATTCGTATGGATGGCAGACTAACGTATGCAGATTACCTTCCGTATGACGTAAAGCACCCCATAATCCTACCCCGAGGTCCCCACGTAACCAAACTAATTGTTAAACATTACCATGAAAGAGCAAATCACACAGGGGGTGTGAATTTCATTTTGGCTCAACTGTCACAAAGATTCTGGATAATAGCAGCACGGGAAGAGATTCGAAGCTGGGAGAACGAATGTAACGAGTGCAAAAAGAGGAAGATGAAGCTTGCGACACAAATAATGGCTCCACTTCCAAAAGTTCGTCTTAGATTTACTTTTCGTCCATTCGACCAGAGCGCTGTGGACTACGCAGGGCCTTTTATCACGGTGCAAGGCCGGGGGAGACACCGTCAAAAGCGATGGTTATGTTTATTCACGTGTCTTGCGACAAGAGCTATCCATTTGGAAATGGCCTGGGCACTGGACACGGAGAGTTTTCTAAATGCTTTCACTCGATTCACTAGCCGACGAGGGGTACCATCCGAAGTTACAAGTGATAATGGAACTAATTTCGTGGGAGCCGTAAATGAATTGAGAGATTTGGTGGGAAAATTAGACCCAAACCGTATTCAGCAGAAGACAAACCACCTCTTCAACAAAGTACAGTGGCATTTTAACCCTCCAGCCGCTCCGCATTTCGGAGGAGTACATGAAGCGATGATCAAGTCGGCGAAACGTGCTATCTATTCGGTCCTAGGAAACAGTGACATTCGAGACGAAGAATTGATCACCGCATTTACTGCTGCCGAAAGTCTGGTCAACTCCCGTCCCTTAACCTATCAGACGACGGACCCTAAAGATGTTACACCGTTAACACCAAACCATTTCCTACACGGGCAAGTGGGTGGAGAAGTGGCTCCCGAATCGGTTGACTACACCAATTTTAACTTACGGAATCGGTGGCGAAGAGTGCAACAACTACTCAATCAGGTGTGGACGAGATGGTTGAAAGAATACCTTCCCACATTAAACAAGCGTCCGAAGTGGACGGAAATAGTGAACGACATGAAAACGGGCGACGTTGTTCTTGCGTTAGATCACAACCTACCAAGAGGTCGATGGCCTCTGGGACGGATCATCGAGACGTATCCTGGTAAAGACGGTCACACGCGAGTGGCAAAAGTCCAGTGCGGAGACAGAACTTTAGTTCGACCAATACACAAGTTAGTACCGCTGTTTCAAGAAAACTGATGGAACAGTGTTAGTTGAACAGTTAGTTTAGATACGCACTCTACGCAGTGCGGGGAGGGGGAATGTTGTGAAGATAACTGTTTTTTGCAGTTAATTCATAGTTGACATTTTATGGTTGACATTTCGAAACAGTAAACTTGGGCAACCTATGTCCAATGAGGGGTTGCTAGGCAACGGGTTTTAAGGACGTTCGAAAAACGTTGTTCGTGAGAGTTTATGAGGAAAATATTACTTTTATTATTGTTCTTTTCGTTTATTTTTGTTAAATTAAAGTTTATATAAAGAGTTTCGAGTCTTGAGAACACCAATTATAATATTTCGATGCTTTATGCTGAAATATTTATGCTTTTAATTCTACGTCAATACATTTTACACAGTGGATCAGATGTCGTTTTTGTCTTCCAGTTTTGTGTCTTCTTCACGGGTGATCTGAAGTTGAACGCAGTAAGCCATAGAGGAAAGGGGGTTATGTATTCAAATTACGTTTACTGTACTTAAGTTTGATCATAGTTTAATAATTCACATGAAAAAACCTATTACGCCTATAGTTGACGGTCACATAAAAAACCTGTTGCATTTAGTTCATGATCACACGAGAAACCGCGTCTCGGGGACCGTTCACACTTTGCACACTTTGTATAATCGATCTAAATTAGAGCGATCGAAAACCGAACCGAGGCCGGCTCTTTCGACTTCTTGTGGAATGTGGACTGTTGTGGCAATGACTCGATCATTAGCTAATAATTACTGAACCTTGAACAATTTAAATATTAATTTTCTAAAGGCATTGTGTTGGAACATTTATAAGTCAGAGTAGAACGGTAGATTAGTTGTTGTTGTAATAGTTCGGTACGTTTTCTACCGTTTCTTATCTGTAATACGAAAACGTTCAACGAATAAATATTAGTAAGAGACGCGTGAGGAACAAGCCAATTTTAACGTGTGTATAGTATAACGAAAACGGGAATCGCTAAACGGCCGTAACATGGACATTTGCACAAATACTTGAATGAAATACCCAAATTAGCTACCGTTAATAAGCGGGAAAAGGCGAGGCTGCTAAGCGAGAATTAGGGGCTGTTCATATGATCCATTGAATTTTGATGTATTGAAATAAATCACTATAGGCTTAAACGAAACTTCAATCTGGAATTGTAACTGGAATCAAACTGTATCTAGAATTCTCAAATTCCCATACATAAAGCAGGAGTTACACAAGCAACAAAATTGCTGCAACTTGCAACAAAATCTGATTTCAATGGACCATTTGCATTATAGACTAAATTTTGATCTAAACAAGTCTAGACAAATATTTCATCACAGCTTGAAAGAGCATCACAAAATTAGTAATATTCCGAAGTTTCGTTGCGAAATGTTGTAAAATGCAGATAATATATCCTTGCGAAGTTTGCCGTTTTTCAGTCATTTTGCATTACGCGGGGGAAATTGACAGCCCAATACCCTTTGGGGCTGTCAGTTTCCCGTTTGTAATACAAAATGCGGACTGATAAACGGCAAACTTCGCAAGGCTATATTATCCGCATTTAACAACATTTCGCAACGAAACTTTGGAATCAATTACTAATTTTGTGATGCTCTTCCAAGCTTTGTCTAGACTTGTTTAGATCGAAATTTAGTCTATAATGCAAATGGTCCATTGGTTTATCACACTTCTGTGTTTTTGCTGATAAAATCATCAATTTTTCACTGTATTTGTGTTTTATACTTGCGGTCCTTGTGTCGCATCGACTTTCCCCCGAACTACAGATTTGGAATATCTCTCTTCATTGTAAACATTCTTGCTGTTGAAACTTGGCTCCGATTGGGTACAAAAGAATGCTCTGAATCTGATATTCAGTTTTAACTTTTAAAATGAGTGGGTTTAGCTGTCGCAATTAAATTCTAGATTCCCATGACAACAGATCTGAAATCTATTCTGAGTGTATTACCGAAAAATCCTTCTTGATAACGTCAAGTCACTTAATATTTGAAAATCCAAAAATCATATAGATTTAATAACTCGAATATTCGATGCAATTTACAAAAATTCATATTCAGAGCCATATCGGCATTGTGATTTATTTGTTGGTAATAATCCGGGTGTCGTTTGCCGGCTGATATTCCCAGAAGATGTAATATTCCCAGTATATATTCCCATGAGTCCATTGATACAATACAAGCGCTAAGAAATAAAGATCATCTTATTAGAGTATACCTACCATAAATACTCACTGGGACAATAAAGAACAAACTATCATTTTACTAAGGGTTGGAATATTTTAGCTAGCCTGAATTTTAAGTCTAAGTATTCGAATTTGTATTCGTAGTTTTTAAATCTTTTCGCAATTTTAAATATAGTGACCAGAACTCTTATTCGTAATTATAGATATAGTGTAGTGTAATATACTGTATGCATGATCTGCTTTACTACCTCGCAGCGAGGCGCGTAGTGGAAAGAGCCTGGGTACGAGGTTGCTTTACTATACTTTTAATGATTTAACTTTATTGTATTCAGTTTGATAATAATAGTCTACATGTTTTGAAAATTTGCATTTCGAAATTTGGAAATTGTTTGTATTTCATAACCGTCATTTCCTATAGTTGAGTTAAGACGGATATGAAGTAAAATAATTATAGTTTTCATGAATTAATGCTGGCTCCTCTTGAATCTTATAAATAGTCATTTAAAAATACCCTTGAAACGTAGAATTACTTTTAACAAATCCTTGCTTCCTGAGTAATATAGACTATTGTTCTTTTGTTCTCTTTTAAATCTCATCATATAGTTTTAAAAAAAATAAACAAAGACTGTTTAATGCAACTACTGCATGCCCACGTATTTCCAAATAAGCCATTATTAAATCAATAGTTTTTTTTCCTCCTTTTTCCCAAGAACGAACTAAACAAAGAAGCAATGTTATGGTTACATGCATAACTACATCATGCTCGTTTAAGACCGTTTACCATTTATTATTCCCAATGGTCGTGGTCGTGATTAAGGTTTCTATTTCTTGTTACAAAAACGTATAAAGGTATAGGGTAGGTCGTCTTTTTTTGTAATTTTATTTAATAAATGCTCATGCGTGAGAATGATATGCTACAAAACTAACTTAGTGATCAACTCGAAAGTTTATGCTCCTTTGATCACTACGCACCTTCACTTTATTAAATTAACTTGAAATTATTAATTCAAAACATAAAGTAATCATTTGTAAAATTTTGTATACATTCTCCTTGTTTTGTAAATAGTGCAGTTTCTGAATAAATCTTGAAAAAATCTTAACACCAGGGAATGGGTATGAAAAATTGTTCCAAACTCTTTGCAAAAAAGCCAAAAGCTAGGTAGGGTAGGGAAACCAGGAACTCAGGTTTTTTTGCCCAATAAAGTTTCGACATATATTATTTTTTATATATCTATAGATGACTACTATAACGCAATTTAAAAGCATTGATATAATCTTTCTTGTTTCAGTGAGTTCGATATTTGCATGAAGCTCGGACTATCGACTATAGTAATGAGATAAACATGAATTGTTTTAAATAATTTCAGCACACTAGTTGATCGACAAATTGGTTTAATTAAGATTACATCATTTGGATTACATGTTCTTGCACTTCAATTTAGATTACATAAAGTACCAACCCTTGACTGCATTTCGCAATGCGAAGTTTTCAACCATGCAATTCTGATAATTGAAAAAAATGTTGATTAAAATAAAGCAAGTATATGATAATCATCAACTTAAAGTAAAATTAATATCGTGCTATTTTACGACTATATATATATATATGATTATATAGTTGCCTAACATTGAAGATTTAATCTAGTTCCTTTTATACTATATACTATTAAATTAGCCATATCGTGATTGAAATGTGAATGACCCGATTTATGCTAGAGACAGCTGACGGCCAATGGCAATGATATATTTGGACGAATTTTGCGAATGGAAAAATTAAGATAGTTCTGGATATTTCGACGGCATTAGACAAGTTATCGGGAGAATATCAGGCTTGATTTGTTCCCAAAACCTGCTTATTATACATTTAATATGTATTCTCGTTTCTAATTGGTCAGAAAGCACCGGCTAATTTTCAGTATTTGGCATTTATTACGTATTTTCCGCCGATGACGTCATCAGCGTCCAATAATTGTTTTTTTGGATCGAACTTGCATCCAAAAAAAAAATTATTGGACTCTCTCGTGCCCAAACCCTTGCGCGGCCAAAAGCTTGAACCTATAAGCGCGCGAAAAAACCCCAAACAAACAATGGCCTACAGCAGATTTGCTTCGCTGAATGAAAGTGAACTCTCCAAATTATTGGCAGATAAGGATAGTGAAAGCACGAAAAAAGCCACAAAGGGGTAAATAGAAGTACAAATAGAATATTTAGCTGACCTTTGACTTTGTGCAAGGTTTTTAATACTCAAATTGTACTTTTCCTACCTCATTTCCTTTCTCATGTCTTTAAATGTATAATAAAACAATTATTGGATTCGGCTTTCGCATGATATCAAGAATTATTCAGACCTCGGTCTATGTTATCAGCTTCGCTTCGGCAGATAACATTGACCTCGGTCTGAATAATTCTTGATATCATGCTCAGCCTCATCCAATAATTGCTTAATACTGTTAAATAAATATCAGCAGAATAAAGCATGCATGTGCTCACAATTTCCCTGCGACTATACTCTTTAGTTAACATGCATGGAAACTGCTTTACAAGTTGTAACAAAAAATGGTAACATGGCTCCGTCAGAGGTCAGACAGATGATGCGTTTTGACGCATGAACATCTCTAGTGTAAATCGGAGGACCACTGAATTCTTTTAACGAACAAATATATATCCCATGGCTTTGGCATTCTTGTTTCCGTTGTCAGGACTACACTGGGCCACATTACCCGCGGCGTTGGCAAATAGTGAGTGATAACAATGATGCGAAACACCATGAGCTCCCAGGCCTATGAAAGAGTCGGGTGAACTGCAATCATTTTGCTCGTTTGCCACAAGACCCAACCGAACTCCTGCCTGACTGCTACCAACGTATATGTTAAATCCCTCTCGGTTGCAATGACGCTGTAAGGATGATCCATGGATCAATGATTTCCACTGCGCGCGACCAACGCGAGTTTGTCGATATTTACCGTCTGCGATTAAACTATACAGAGATGATGCCGGGTACAAGAAAGAGAATGCTCTTAAACGACCACCATATTTCATACCAACACAAATTTCTTTAAATGAGGTTCTCCAATAAGTTGATCCTTTATATTGTCGGTTGTCTAAACCGCCGTTTCGCCCATAGGAATAGTCATTGTAAGTGCGGCTGCTCGTCCAGTAGTAGGAACTGTATTTGAAAGTACTCTATATATAAAAACAAATAGATGATACTAAGATTTGCTCTGATTGACTTCAGTCTTTTCGTCTCAGCCTATAATCCTAAATCTGATTCCTAATCCTCGACCTTATTCCGAAAGATGACCCCAATCCCAAAGTTACATTTAACCCCACTTTCATCCGAAACCTCATCCTTTATACCTGGAAAGTACGTCATCTTGGTTATAGAGCCTCGTTTTGGCTTACCGAGCTTCCGTCAATCTTCATCACCATTGTCCAACCACCGCCATAGCAACTTGAGACTGACG